ATTCTTGTTTTTCACCAAAAAACAGCATTGAACTCTAAGCTTAGTTGTGATCCACTAACAACATCATCAAAGCGAGAGATAAAGCCTCAAATGAAAAATGAGATGGCATCGGGAAGAAAAACTTAAATTAAAAGGGAAAATACAAAGTATTTTTAGAGCAAGATAGAAGACGGCTTACAAAGGTTCCAGAACCTCCAGAGACTGTCAAAATACCAATGTAAAGGAAATTCTTTTGAGCATGCAGCCTGATCCAAAGAGGCATTTTCCCAAGATATTTACTGTAATATTTACTGTAACTACCAGGAATCAAAAACAAATAGAATATTAGAGAGCTATTTTATTTAAAAATGTTACAGTAATGAGACTGTATTCTACCGTTGTCATAGAACTTCGGCAAGGGAAAAAAGAAACAATGGGAAAAGTAGATATATCAATAACATGGACTGCTTGTAGTACAAAGTACCTTTTTTCTTTCAACATCAACGTACACATTACCTAAAGATCAAAAGTATATGGGGTATTTTGCATAAATGTAGTTTTTAAGTTTAAAATGAATGTACCTCACTTTGAACTTGATAATCCTTATGGATTCCTTCTAACTTGAGATAGTCTGTGCTATTTTCTCCCACAAAAAGGGAAAAAAGGCCACAAAAGGAAAAACTTTACAAACATTTATTTCGATAAATTATACAAATACACCGATGAATGGTGTTTAGATATTTTGCTGCATTTGTCATTTTTCATTTTCTAAAAAAAAAAAAACAAAAACCAAACCACATTCTCTGATACTGTTAACACCCTGACAATGTTTGAGTTCTGCTTCAATTGTTATGGCCCATCTTCGCGAACGAAGATTTGGGGAAAGGTCTTTTACCTTTCCAGCCTGCGCAATGGATTTTTTTAGGTGAGACACAGCCTGCGCTGAACTGAGCCCACCCTTTAATCCTAAGGTTCATCTGACGGGGCCAAGCAAGCTTGGACAATGGCAGTGAGGTCCTCAGGACGTAGGTTTGTTTAGAGTGACCTTCTCATAGATGGATGGCCTCACAGGGCTAACGAGCTACCATCTGCCCGGGGGACTTGGGATTCGAACCCGTGGTCGCAGCAGTGAGAGTCCTGCATGCTAACCACTAGGCCACCAGGGGTCCCCGCTTCAATTGTTATAGCCAGTTAATTCATACACAGCATTTTATTTTGTCCTTTTCTGGAACTATGCTATTGGATCTGTTAGAAACTTACTTTAAAAATTACAAAATGGCCTTCTGAAACCAGAAATATAATTTAAAAAAAAAAAAGAAAAAAGAGAGGAAGAAATAAAGCAATCAGCCCTTTATTCCAAATGATCCTCTACAGTCAAATCCCTGCTGAAAAGCTAAGTGAGGAACAACACAGCATCTCGGGTTTTTAACTACATTTTTGTTTCAAAAAAATCGGAACACATATGAGTCACTAAAATCAATCTAATTTCTTCATTCCTTTAAAAGGAAACTATTTCAAGGCTTCAAAATTAGTGGAAGAAAGTGATAGCTTGAAATATGGATTCTCAAAGTACAAAAGCAAAAGGCCTTTTTTAATCTCTACAGTTACTGATTTGGGGAAGCAGACAATGCTAAAACCTTACAAAAACTAACAGACTTTTTACAGAGATATTTTAAACAAATTTGTCAGGTTTATTATACCTTAATCATGGTAGCATCACCAAAACTGGAGGATAAATCAACACATAATTGAAAAAATATACCAGAACAAGGGTTTATCTTCTGTAGAAAGAAAATGATGCATCCAAAATACAATCCTTCATCACGAACCAGGGAAATGGACAAGATTTACGCTACAGTTCAGCTGTTGCTTCGAGCCAATATGAATGTAAGCTGCTGCCAAGGGGGTAGTTTGACACTCTCCTAGCCCTTCATTCCTGGCTTACTGTGACCACCTCTTCTTCTGATGCTCACACTCAGCAAGGGTTTGCCCTGAGCACTGATTCAGAGGAAAGAAATGCTTTTGTTCAGGTTCACATTTCAAGCAGAGCCCACCCCTGCTCCAGCTCACCACGAGGCTGCACAAGTCCTGCAGAACCTGACAACAACCAAGAGGAGGTAGCAGCCCGAGGGCAGGTCTTTCCGACCTCCGTTCCTCACAAGTGCTCTAAAAACCCTGTTATTAGATTCACTCTCTCAACAATTGAACAACAAATTCTTTATTTAGAGTGGAGACAGAGAGAGGCTCATCACTGCAGCCATGAGTCATTTGGTATGTGGGAGACCCAACCTTTAGACCTGACTTCAAATCTGGCAGAACTAGAATTAAACTCTAGAAAGTCCCAAATATAAGAGTCGCTCATCATAGGCTCATATACATCTTCTTTTCTTATTCATTCTTACAACAACAAAAAAAACTTGCCAAGGAAAAAATAAAGTAGAAGTTGTGACACTCTCCTTGCCAGCAAGCATATTATGCATATAAGCTACCATATGCTTACTTGCTGACCCTAAGTGGCAGCAGAATAAACTCTGACAGGCAGCCAGTCTCGACTACAACAGTTGAGCCACCCAGAAAAGATCAAGCATTTCAGGTTTTCTCTTTAACTCTGATTTATTTCACCCTCACCGAAAAGAGACTTTCTGATCCAGTTCTTAGAAAAGAAATCTAGTAAAAAGTGAGGCAACAGTGATTCAACTCTTCTGGAGATGAAAAGCTTCTATGAATTTTAATGAAATTGTTTCCAGTTGATATAGTCTTCAGCAACACATACGAAATACAAATTATACTTCTCACCAAAATCAACTAAGTTCATAATAATCTCGCAGCTCAGCAGGCCTCAGTTTAATACTTACAATACAACAAGAGGACTTCAGGACGAAAGTCCAACACATGCATCTGAGCACACAAAGAGTGTTTCTGATCTAACATAGGAATGAAAAAGCACACAGTAACAGTTTCAGTGCCCTAGCCAAAAAAAAAAAAAATCACCCAAAGCACAAATCCAGCTTCTCTCTCCGGACACCCTATTTTCCTCCTTCCTTTTCATATAGATTTAACATTGGGATAACATCCTAAGCAGCTTTGTCTTAATCATCTACGTTTTCTGGAGCAGTTTCTGTACTGGCAACAGAGTCAAAGATTCTTCAGAATCATACAGAAATACTGGTCTGAAACGAGTAGGTGCTATTGCAATGCCCAACACATTTTCTTCTTCAATTCTTTGTTACATACACCTAGGTCCTTCAAGAGCAACTGACAGACAGGACTGGTGCCACTCTACTCCAGATCCCATAAAAGCATGGGGTTTTTTCAAAAAGTTTGTTTTCAGGCCCCAATCCTACCACAAAAATCTGAGCTTCTGGGTAGTCATATCAATCAGTCTCCAAAACTGTATTTTTTTTTGCTCCATCCCCCTTAAGCTCAGTACCGGCTGCCAACAATTCCTGACATTCAACATCAAAAGAAATTATAACCATGGTGATAACGCTATCTATTATCAGTTTTCTTCCCTTCTCCAGACTTCTCCCCAGGAAGACAAACTAGAAAAACAAAACCAAAACCCCCTTCCAAGATACGACTGTCAAGGCAGAATCATAATTCTGCCAACCGATACAGATCAGCAGGCATCACATGCCCGTGAGGACTGGAAAACAGCTTTGTACAGACACAGCCCAAACACATCTGAGTGTAAGATTAAGCTGCCAATGTAGCATGCGGTCTGGATGTCTGATTAAGGACCTACATCGATTTCCATCAGCACCATAAATGCCTTCCCTGCTCTACCAGTGCAATGGGTGTATTATTTCACATTGGCATTTACAACGCATATCGAAATGGTCTCTAAAAACACCCTTCCATTCTAAAGTAAAGGAGAAGATTTCCCCCACTTCAGATTTCTACCTAATTGATACTAACTATGCAGTATTTACTTTCGTTCACCTGTTTACATACATTGTAGCCTACCAAACCCATTTTTAAATGGCCACCTTTCCCTGGGACATTGAGAAAAACACTAATCCACAAAATTAATTATTTTTCCTGTCTTTTCATCATCAAATAGCACATAACCTCTTACTGTGACCCATTCAAATGATTTTTCTTGCTTAATGAGGGAGTGCTACGAGGGCAAGCATATATTAATATTAAAGAACTGGTCAAAATAACTAAAATCAGATTCATCATATTAGCTATAACCCTTTACACCTTCTGGCAGCTGTATGCTTAGTCTATTTTTATCTACAAAGATAGTCTTGCCAATAATCACAGTATTTTCAGAGAAACAGGCCTGAATTTTAGTTATGGCATTGCAAATAAACTTTTTGGGTACTGCAACACACTGTTATGACTTCAGAAAATGCTACTACTGAATGAAGTAATCTGTTCCTAAAATTACTTCAGCACAGGAAAAATTGTTATACTGCATATGTCCTTAATACATTTCAACACTGTTTTACATTAGAAAAAACACAATTCAAGTTGTATCATAGACACAGGCAGTGTAACGAATTTTATTCCTGCACAAAAAAACCCCAACCAAACAACCCCTATTTCTACTTCTGCCAATAACGAACTCCATTACAATACATCTGAGTAATTAAGACATATTTTAAGAGATTGTGACGCTGAACAAACAGATATGCCACGCGCTTATCCAAACCCAAGTTCTCAGAAAGATCCAACCTAAACAACATTCATCAAAAACAGCAGCTCCCTGTCAAGGATTATATGTAGAAACTCTCAAGGTAATGCTCTAGCAACTTACAGCATACCAATGCTTAAACATGACTGCAACAAGTGTCACCAATGAAAACAGAAAGACACAAGTAGAAATAAACATGCTTACGGCAACACGCTGTGAATATTTTCCTCTCTTTTTTCCTTACAGCCCGCAGTTCACACTCCGCTGCATGCATTAAAACTTAATTATGGTGGAAAGAGATTGTGGATACAGCCACTTACATCGTAAGGCATAAAACTCTGTCAACAAACAGCATATTGCAATTTCCACCACCACTTACCTCGTATGACCAAACGCACTGAGTTCCTCCAAACCTCCGGACACACCTGCCCACCTCCACGTCCTCGTGGGTAGTGTACATTTCTCGAAGGCATTCACCTATATGTGGCACCATCCTCCTGAGAACCTCCCGACTGAAGATCATTCCTGGCCCTCCCATGCAGAAGTTCTCCCCAGGCTCCAGCCCAAGTTTTCCGAGTTCTTCAATATTACCCAGACCAGTCTGTCCCAAATACAGAGGTTTACTGCTGTTCAGTGAGCGAAGAAACTCCTCCAATTTTTCACCTGAAAAAAAATTACTGTTATTTCTCTGACTTCTCTGCCAGCCACCTCTTTTCCTGTAGTTCAAGCTTTTACAAAAATATAATAGGCACCTGAGACTGTCACAGGAAATCTCTTCTAAAGCAGAATCCTACACCTAACTGAAAATATCCTTGGACAAGTTTACCTTTTTTGTTTGTTTGTTTGTTTGTTTGAACATTACAATGACATTTTCCTTCAGCCAAAAGTCAGAACACAATCAAAATTAAATTTAACCATTAAAGTTTGCTTTGTTCAACCAATACTGATGGAAAGCACTCGCTAGTTTAAAACTCTCTCCAAAGTCAGACAATTTGGACAATATGGTTCCAGGTTGCTTCCAATCTGCTTCCAGGGAACCAGAGCAAACTTAAATTAACCAAGCAAAACACATTTAATTACAGACTAATTGAAGGGAAAAAAATAAAGCTCAGGTCCCTTTCGAATTATTTCCAGTGCTACAATGTTTACACTCTTTTCCTTCAAACTCCTTATCTAGTTCTTTTAAAAAATTCTGATTTCATGTTTACTTGAAACGGAAAGTTTCTGGATAGGTTTAACTCGGTACTGTGTAACCAGCTGAAGTCGGGTTCATTATAACTTCGAAATGAGCCAAAGAAAACACTGACAACTTTACATCTGCAACTGAATATACATACGTATATATAAGTGTATATGTGCCAATATTTGACAGGCGACTGATAGCTGACGAGCGAGTATATTAAGTGACTCAAAACCAAAAGACAAACTGGGAAGGGTATATGTACCTTCAGTGAACTTAAAACAGTGTAAGCAACCAAGCTCACAACCTGGGTTTATTTACGCTTACAACTCCAGCTTCTCTCTCCTGAGCGCGGGACGCGACAGGAATAACGGCACAGCAACAGGCGCAGATCAAAAGGAAGCTGCGGAGCATCACGTCCTGACGGTGCTATGGGACTCGCACGGGAGCAGGGATGGTACTGTCCGGGGACACGCGCTGAACACCAGCTTCACCCGCGGCAGCTGCGTTCGCGCAGCCCAGGGTCGGGGCAAGCGGGTGACAGCAGCATCGCTCCCGAGGAGTCCCGCACGGACTCCGCCGGGGGAGCCGGGACCAAGAGACAGACACCTTGCAATCGGGCGGCGACGGCAGCGAGCGCGGGGGCCGCAGCACCGGGACCCCACGCCCACCCAAGGGACCGCTCACCGTGCCCGGCGCGGTACAACCCGCAGCCTCAGCTCTCCAACGCGTCGCGGCCCCCGCATGTCGGGATTCCCTCGGGGACCGCAGCGATGGGGCGGCTCTCCGTGGCCCGCACGGCGGGACTGGAAGCAAACGCCGCCGGGGCGGGGGCAGGTCGAGATACCCCATGCGCTCCCCATCCCAGACGAGAAGCGACTCTCCCCTCCACCCAACATGGGACCCCGCCGCGCTCCCAGACACCGCTCCCTGCTTCCCTGCCTCCCGCCGGCGGGGCGCGCCCCGGTCACCTTTAATGTAGACGTCGTCGTCCGCCCGCATGAACCACTCGTACTTGTCCAGGTAGTGGTCGTGCATGTACTTGATCATCATGAAGGACTTCTTCTGCGGCGGGTAAGAGTCGTCCACGCCGGGCAGGGCGACGACAGGCAGCGGGGGCAGCCCGGGGGGCGCGGCGGAGCCCTGGCTGGAGAAGAACTCCACGCGGCCCGGCACCGAGGGCGCCCACGTCCGCTGCGCCGCCACCGCCCGGCTGCCCAGGTACTTCTGGGCCGTCATCACCCCCACGTAGAGGAAGTTGCGGGGCTTGGCGCAGCCCGGGGCACCCCCCCAGTCCCCGCTCCCGTTGTGGCTCCCGCCGCCAGGCCGGCCGCTCCGCTTCTCGCCGCCTTCCTCCTCCTCCTCCGGCTCCCCTTCCCCGCCAGCGGCGGGGCTGGACACCGTGCCCTCCGCCGCCGCTGGCGGCAGCTCCCAGGGGCTGCTCCTGAAACTCGTGCCGCCCAGCACCGCCGCTGCCTCCGGCGGCGCCTGCTGCCCGCCCGCCGCCGCGCCCCGCGCTGCCCCCGGCCCCGCCGCGCGGCCGTAGTAGGAGCAGAGACTGGCGCCGCGCCGCTTCTTCTCGCTGAGCTCGGCCACTCGCGGGGCGATGAGCCAGGAAGCGGCGGTGAAGCCCAACACCAGCCCCAGCACCACGCTCAGCCAGGGTCTCCGGGACCGCGCTGCCATGTCGCGGGCGGGGCGGCTCCCGGAGCGCCGCTACCGCCGCCGGCGTCCCGGCTTGGAGGCGACCCCCGTCCCGCGGCGGCCCCAGGCGCGGCGCCTCCTGCCGCGGCTCCCTGCCCTGCCCCGCCGCGGCGGCCCCGGAGCGGCTGCGCTGCTCCCGAGTCAAACTTCTCCGGGCGGCGGAGCGCGAGCGGCGGCGGCGCCTCCGCTCCGCTGGCACCTCGCCCCCGCGGCGCCTGGTCCCTCCCCGCCCCTCCCACGGCTCGGCCCCCGCCGCACGGCTCCCCGGCCCACGCTCCGCGCCCGCCGCCTTCCTCCGCGGCTGCCGAGCGCCTCACCCCGGAGGGCGCCGCCGGTGCCCGAGCCGCGCCGGGGAAGTGGCGGCCGCCGCCGCCGCTCCGGAAGGAAACGATTTTTTTAGGTGCCTCTCGCGGATCCCCCCGCGCCGCGGCCTCGGCCCCCGGCCCGGCCCCGCCGCCCGCCGGCGACCCCTCCGCCCGCTGGGGCCGGGGCGGGGCGGAGGGCGGGCCGGGGCGGTGGGGTGGAGGTGCCCCCGTCGCCTGTCGTGCCCTGGGTGCCGCGGTGTGTCCCGCTCCCGCTGCCGCAGCGGGCGAGGTCGGGGGCTCATCTGCGGGCGCGGAGCCGCATCGCCCGAGGGCGGCCACGGGCAGGACCGCCGTGCCTGGCCTTCTTCTCCAGAGTGGTGGTCGTGGGAGACAGGTCCGGGGTGTCGTGTCGGGAGGAGGGAAGCCGTCTCCTCTGCCCCCACTCCGGCCTCTACTTTCCGCCCCAGCGGAGAGCGCCTTGTTGCCCTGTGGCGTGGATTCCCGACCTCAGGATTACGGCGTTGTCCACAGCCTGGGATGACCGACAGCAGGAATTAAATGACCGGGACACTGTTCCTATAGGGACAGCTGTCATTTTGAAGTTTAAGGTTGCTTGCCTATCCTCCATACTTATATGCATCCCTTATTTAATTGTGCAAGATGCCCATCTCCAGTGAAAGCCATAAACTGCTCATCACATCCATTTGTTGTTTCACTGAAATACATCCAAGCGACAGAAGATCCAGTAGCGTATATTTAACAGTTTTTCAGCAAAACCACCCCTTTTTATAACTAAGTCTATGGCATTGTGTATCACTTCATATGACTTTATCAATTGTCAGACACATATGTCAAGGTGAGAGGAGGAGTATGGAGGCTGCTTTTGTGTGATGCTAGCAGAAGTACTCGAATAGTGAGAAGAAAATTTCAAGCCTTTTTGGAAGAAGGTATCACTTCGCCCACCTAACAAAGAAAGTCTACTCTGCATAGTCTTTAACTATGACGAGGTCACCTACTGAAGTAATTTGCAGATTTTCCATGTGACTCCGCTACATTCAGTGAGCATTCTGTGTGCTCTTTGTGGTTTTGAGATGTGCAAGTATCAGGCTCAGTAAACATACCTTATGGCTTCCCCAGGATTGAGCATCCTTTCCAAAGCAGCCCATCATTAATTTCCTCTCCATGTGCACACAGGCTGGTGCATTTATGCCACCAAACAGTAAGGCACTAGGTATTTAATCCAGCTGTCATCATTAAAACAACAATCCAAGCGTTGTGTCTGGGCATATAAACACCACCTGAGATGTTCTGTGAGCAACAAGATAGCAGATCCTGGGTCTGTCTTTACCAAGCTACGAACAGACAGTTTGGAAGGATGTCCTCCAAAAAGCCTTTACAATGGCACTGAGAATTATCAGTATTAATAAGTGTTTCTGTTTTCCATTTGAGTCTTGCATTTAAAAATACTATCTCCCAGCCCTTCCCCCCAGCTCCTTGCAAACAGCTGGGAATTGATGGGTCCTAGTGAGTCATGTGCGGTACCATCTCAAGTAGTAGAGGCTCCTTCAGACCTACACAACCCCATCATAACGGTGTCCTAAATTTTCAGACAACTTACTGCTATGGGTACTGCAGAGGTACAATGTATGATGACGCTAAGCCACTTCCACTGCTTATGCATATACTGAAATTACTTCAGTCAGTGTCAACTGTGCTGACTCCTCAGGTCTGACAGCTCTTATTTGTGTCACAGAAAGAGCAGGTAAACCCATGAGAGATGACCATAAAGCCCTGTACATGCTTCCAAGATGAAAATGGACCTTAATGTGTTGTAAGTATCAAAATAGTTTGTAAAAGAATTGAGTATAAGGTGTATCTACATTTATATTTTTAGTTCAATGCCGTACCACTATTTTGATACAACATGGGGAAATCAGTTGAAGGTTTGTGGGGTTTAATGGACAAAGACACAGAGTGGACCACTTTTATAGGAGCAACGGTGGCATCTAGTGGCTAATAACAGTCCTGTGTTCAGAATGCCTTTCCAAATCATGTAAAGGGCATCTAAAACACCATTCACAATCTCTTCACAGCGGCCATAGGTGGAAAGCACTGACTAAAGCTAGCTTCACTTTCAGTGGGGCTTAGAATAAGCTGTGAATCTGTTTTTGGGCACAGTCTTATATCCTGCTGGTCCCATGTCCTGTGTCAGTCATCTCAAGAAATGACATTTTAACGGTGTAGGTTGATCAGCTGAAACACACATAGCCCAGGAGCACATTAGAGCTGAACAGGGAAAATAAAGCATCCAGTTGAATTCCACAATCAGAAAGGAACTCACTGAACTGAACTCTGTTTCCATATTTCGTTCAACCTCAGATATCCGACATAAAACACCAGGTCTGCTAGAGTAGTAGGATTTCTTTTCATATTTGTAACCAGCTGCTAAAACTTGCAATTTGTCAAAAAACTGAAGCATGATTATGAAGAGAAATTAATTGCTTCAACTGCATTTGAGCTGTTACTTGAAATAGAACTCCTGACTGTTAATTGTGTTGTTTTGCTTTAAAGAGAGCTTTATAGAATAGTAAGATTAAATATATACATATAAATAGGTACGCATATCAAAGGTCAATGACTGTTACACTATTTCTTGATAAAGCAGTTTAGTGACATTCCTGATAAGAGACCATTTAATTAGGATTGTTGGTATGGCGTCTCAGCTTTCTGTATGTGTTTGATTTATACATGTTGCTACAAAAATCATATGATGCATGGTTCTGCCAAGGCAGACTTTAACATATAAATGAACTTTAACATATAAATGAACTTTAACATATAATTAGTAGGGTTTGTTTAGATTTTGAGGTATTAAGGACAGGTTAGTTAACTTCAGAGATGAAAAAAAAAAAGGTAACTATTTTTTTGTTCTTTTTAAGACTATCTTGTTAACATATTGTGTTAATTTCGAAACTACATTTACAGATGGCTGCAGTTTATGTTGTAGCAGCCACTACAATCAACCCAAGGTCTGTTAGGAAGTTAAGAAAGAATAATTGCAATGAATGTCATTTTCAAAGCAAAAAAAAAGCCTTAAAAAAGTGGTGACAAACGGACCTGCTTGATGCAAGAAAGGGGAAACTTAAGACTGGAATATTAATTATTGAAAGGACAGGAGCTATTGCTACCAGACAAATCTGAAATATTTACAGCAGTCTTTGAAGCCAAACCTAAACTTCTTTCACTGCTTTTTCACTTTTATTCTTTAAAATATCACCGTGAATAAGTTTGAATAGCTCCCTTTTAGGTGTGTGAAAGAAAATTTATAGCATTTGGCTCTAAGTGAAAGACAATAATATGCCCACAGCACAAAAATGGCTCACATCTGACCTAGCACAGCCACCTGCAAAAGATAACGACATTTCAATTGTCTTTGTAGAGCAAACTTTTAGGAACTCTAAGACTGAAATTTCCCTTGAACATTCAGTTTTATTATGGAGGCATATACACATCACTTGGAGAGCAGTAGTTGCAACTGACAACTGTCTTTGAAACATTTTTGTAACCGTATATTTATTCATTGATATACCTGGGTAATCATATGCATTAGTGGCATTTTGACTAAGAAATAGTTTCATTGTCTTTATTTTTTTTTTATTTGTATATTCTAAAACTCCACAGTGCTCATGGCTGAATTTGATCTTTTTACATTGTGCTTGCGCTATTCCAGCATCTGGCTATAGCTATTTGCATTTCTAGGTACAGTTTTATTTTGGAAGGTAATTATGTGACCAATCTATTAGCCCTCAAATGAATATTATTGAAGCCTTTTCTGTTGATTTTACTAGGCATGGGACTCAGCCAGATCTTGGATAAGTATAGCTCTTTCTTTCAAGAGAGAGAAGCTGAGAGGAGGAGAATATATCCTGTGTATATTCCCTCACATTCACACACTTACAGTCTTACCACCATTTCCTTGCAGAGAAATGACAGCTACTGCAGCAGGAGGTCAACTGCAATATCTTGCTCCTTCACTACTGTCCATAGAGCCATTTCTGATGCTCATGGACTTGGTCCTATTCCAGACTGAGATCAATGAAGTGCAATAGGCATTACTGAAAATAAAACCTTTATATCTTGTAGAATTATACATAGTTCTGAAAATCCATCAGTAACTCAAATTTTAGATTCAAGGTGATTTTGCAACATCAACTGTTACCAAACCCAGTTTTTATTTGTGGGGGAAAAAAAAACAACAAACACCCCCCCCCCGAAAAAAACACAAACAAACCAACAAAAAAACAACAACAAAAAACCCCACAGCGTGGAACTCCATACTCCTGTAATTTATTTTTGGTTTAAAACCAAATTGAAATAGTGTATGGGATAGGTTGGGCTATGAAATCCATGCTTAGGAAAATCCTTTCAGATTTGACACTTGCTCCGTTATTTATGAAAAATTATTACACTAAAGCTTACGCGGGCAATTCATATGTAAATTTCATTTAACCTGCTTTATTTTGCTCCTCTTTCAAACTGTTTATCTTGTCTGTATTTTGTAGTTGTTTTCCCTCTCATCTTGGAATACAAATAAATGAGACTAAATCACTCTCTTTTATGAATAGGAGACATCCAAACATAGCTCCCACCTCTGTGTGGGATACATTAAGTGATCCTATGTGATGGACAGCAGTGTTTACTCTCTTCCTCCTCAGGTGCCACAATAGCCATTGACTTGTATGGAAGACATAGTCTCAAGTGGCTTAAATGGGTTTGTCTTAACATTTTTCTCACACTTTTTTGCCTGCTAATGGCAGACATA